GAGACTTGTAAATCATCTTCACCGCTAAAAATCCCATATTCGAATCCACCAACATTGTTGCGCGGCCCAAATTATCCGACGCTATAAGAAGCAGTTAGACATCAAATAATTCACAGGCCCCAAGAAAAGGTTTGGCTGCGACGACGACCGTGCTTTGCTTTCCGCACAATGAGCGAGATGCAGAAATAAAAACTAGACGAACACTTTTTATTGAAAAATAATACTCGGGCCGCAATTAAAATGCAGCTGTGTTAATTTATTTGATTTTACGATCGTGGATCAAACGGGCCGACGTTTTAATAACGTTTTCGTCGAAACAATACGTGTATGAGGACGCCTGATGTCGAATCGAATGTAGATTTTAAAAGGCATGTTCCGAGAACGTTCGAATTTATATTTAGTTTTGACAGCTATTGTTTCGTATTCCGCACCATTCGGGAACCGTAATTCGTTGATGGACCATTGCTGCCTCTCTAAATGCAGTTAGACGACCAAAACAAATCCTTTCTAATTTTCTTCTCAATAAAGTCAAACCTTGAGTAAGCGGACATGTTTTCTGAAAACAAACTTTTGCTTATTTCTTAAATATAAAAATCACTCCTATAACCGGACATTCTTACCTGACGCGGACATTTTTTTTTAATTGATGAAGTAACATAATACTGAGAGCTAGCTAAAGTACTGCATAAATAGTTTTTATGCTGTTTATTACATTAGAAGTGCCTGGAATGAAGTTTCGTCAGTAACGATATAAAATTGTTTTCAGAAAAATGATACTGACAATTGTACATCGATTCAATGAGATCCAGAAAACTTCCTCTTCTCTTCTTCCTTTATCTATGGTAACTCAACGATGACCGAAAAAATTAATATAACACAAGAAAATCTTGAGCACACGGATTTGATAACTTTAAACAATGACAATGCAATTCAAAATGTCATTGAACCCGATGCTGCAAAAGGAAAAACTTCGTAAAGTTTTGGAAGTGAATAACTATCTAAATTTTTTTTTAAATTAGGGCTACACCTCAAAATTTTATTTCATTATCACTGGTTTGAAGAAAAGAATGCAGAACATGCGTCAACAGAATATTTTAGAATTTATCAACAAATAACTAAAAAAAACTGATTTTTTATGGGTTTTATAATTTTTCAATTGTTATTTAGTTTTCCATTTGAGTTGTTCTGCGTAGTTGTACATGTACGTTATAATATATCTTCAAATTTGGTAGTTGTCTCTGTTATTTTTTTTAAATTAGGACTACACCTGAAAAAAATATTTCATTATCACTGGTTTGAAGAAAAGAATACAAAACATGCGTCAACCGAATATTTTAGAATTTATCAACAAATAACTAAAAAAAACTGATTTTTTATGGGTTTTATAATTTTTGAATTGTTATTTAGTTTTCCATTTGGGTTGTCCTACTTAGTTGTACATGTACGTTATAATATGTCTTCAAATTTGATAGTTGTCTCTGTTAAGCGGATACGTCCAATTAGCGGACAATATCGATGGAACCGTGAACAGTAATGGTATGAACAGTATTAGTTGGTGTATCAAATTTTTATGGTATATTCCAAGTTATTTTATGAGTAGTTCGTGATTGATTTTTTCCATCTAAGGAGGGCTTTGACTTTGACGTTAAATAATTCAAAGTATCAAAGTTGAATTTCAATAAGTAGTACGTTTTCTCGTATTAAAATCACAAATGTAACAAAATTTAAGTCAGTAACTTCTTAAACGAGCATTTGACATAGGAACTATTTTATTTAATGGTCTGATGGGGGTCACACAAAAAATGAGGTCAAAGAATTTTGGACACATTTAGAAACATTAACAGAAATTCGCTTGCTAGGGTTGTACGAAAAACAGTCACTAATTGCCAAATATTGCTGACGTCATTTTTCAAATAGTGTAATTGTGTAATTACATTTTATATTACGTTATTTGTATCTTGTTTCTGTACTGATTTTTTTTTCCAATTTTTATCAAACTTGTAGGTTATTCCAGTGTTAATTAAATTAACGAAGACTTCTTTAACTATTTTTTTAAACACAATTGGTAATTTGCACAAAGTATCTGACTTATTGAGAAGTCGTATTTTACCTTCATGTTCTAGTGAAAATTCAATGCGTTTATGCGTATTTTATGTGTGACTTATTAACATTAATGTTAAATAAATAATGACCTACTTACAAATTAATGAAAATATTTTTGTGCTCTTTCCAAAAATGGAAAAAAACAGTGCATTGAAACATGTCATACACACTAACTTACTCGTCTTAAAAAAGTGTCTGAACAATGTCATATTTTGACAGCTGCTAATTTTCCGTTGGATGATACTGGCGAAAAACGAAATCTGCCATTGTCGGTTTTTCGCTGATATTTCCCAAAGCATTTCACCGATCGTAAATCCGAAACCGCCTATCAGATGCACTAAGTTTCCTCTAAAACTTTTCCCATTTGCTGTAGGTTCAGTGGAAACTGAGATTCCTGTGTAGAGAAGCGAATATGGGACACAAACATACGTCGGGAAACGCTTCCTTTCCAAAATGGTGAAATTAAAAAAAAACTTTTTTTAATCTTCATTTTCAAAACCTGATATTTCACCGCTTTCCAGAAGCAAATGACATTTTTAGATATATTTTTTTAACCATATCTATCAGATTTGTTTGTAATATGTTTTAAGAAAAAATTGGTGCACCACTGCTGTGCCTTAAATAATATATTTTTGAAATCCCCGTTCAATTGAAACACATGTGATCTCTTGAATTTTTTTTTCAAGGTAAAGAAATTAAACAACCAAAATCTAAATCATGATTAAACTGTCAATGGACAATTTTTTAAAAAATATTTCGCACCAAAAAATGTCTTTGGCTGGCTTGAAAGCAGTGTGTACGAAATGTTAATAAAATATCTAGTGGTTTGAAAATTAAAAATTATTTTTTCTTAGAATTTGAACACCCTGTATCTTGGAAAGGAACTCTCTCCGTACATATGTTTATATAGAAAAATAGGAGGGCTTATTTTCGAGGTAGAATATGCCACAAAACCACCAAATCAATTATATAGTAAAATTTTCGAATTACCACGACGAAATTGCACCAAATTTCCTAAATTAGAATCGCTGAACTATATACATTGCTAGCTTCGAAATTATAAAAAAAATGCGGGAAAACTATATATAAATGCACCTAGTATAATTGGTACTAGTCAAGTTCCAAATCCTGTTATAATTAGTGTTACTATATAAAAATATAATAGATGCATAGCCCGTTACCGCTGTTACTAATATATTAAAAATTTGATCGTCCTCAATACAAGACCTATTGCGTGTAAATTAAATTCGGATCATTAATTGTATTCGGATTTCACCCAACCATAACATTTCACATATTTTTTTCACAGTGATTTCACAAATTTCAGATTTTACAGATTTCTAATTGTATTTACGGATTTGACCGATTTTGAAAATTAATTCTTAGGGTATGGGAAACATTTTTGTATTCCATTGTAACGAAAAACACTATTAAAGTACAAGAAAAATACATTCAAAACCTCTTTCCAACTAGTACTGTCAGTTTTATTTTATAAAATCCATACATTTTCAAAACGGGCATAAAAAGAATGTTTTTATAATTTTCTTTTCAACATTTTGTTCTTAATTACTTCCTGCCTTTTAACTTGAATTCAGTAATTTACTTCATAAGAGGCACATATTTAGGTTGATAAAAAACATTAAAATTAAATTTCAAATATTCCAGAAATTGAACTAATTTTCTTTGGTAAATTTGGGTTAAAAGAACATTAATAAAAAACGCATTAAGTATAAATGCCTCAATTCAATTTTTTTTTTTAATTTTTAGTTCTTTTATTCGTTTTTTAGGTTGAGATAAAGATATCAAATGAGCTCTCTAGTTTTTGCGATTATTTCAGAAAACGCCATCTTGGTGACCAGGTAAACAGTTGCACACTAATTGTGGTGAATATAATAAAATTTTACATTAACCGGGTTTTCAAAATCAAAGGTTACCATTTCAGAAATTCTAAATTAATTTTCAACGTTTTTTTTTTGGCCGTTCATTTCCCTAGAACCATAAACATTAATCCGGAAGTTATTGGAATCACTAATTGAAAATGACTTTGGCTTATTGTCCAAATTTAATTCTTGATTCCTGAAAATAAATGGATGAATTCGATCGGTTTCGTAAAATCTATTTCAAACGGTAGAGACGGCGAGTCTTAAGATTGAAAACATTTGTTAAAAAGAACACGCATCGGTCGTAATTACTCTCACCCGAAATAGAACTTCTAAATCATAATCTACAAGCTCTAAAATTAAATAAATCATCTCGGAATTCTAAAGATTCGAGCCAGGAAAACAAAACGAAAATGTCAAATGATGATTCAGGTTATTAAAAGATTTTTAAAACGGTCGTTAGCATTGTGGATTTCGTAAATATAGTTGTCTACGCGATACAGGATGAACAAAAACGTTAAAATGGTCCTACGTACTTTAGTTATACGAGAATGGGCCAATAATTCCTGGGTCTGACAACATAAACAACGTTTTAAAAGTTTTTTTGTTTTATTTTTTAGCATAGTGTCCTCAGTTTTCCTTTTCAACTTTTGCTCAGACATTAGCAAACGCGGCGCTCAGGCATCCGCGATCTCAGGCAATTTTAATCTTCGGTCTTCTAGCACCGTTTTGTGGAGTTTTTCTGCTATTTCAGGTGTTGCCATTTCCAAAGGAAATCCGGAGCGTGGCGCATCGGTAATGCTCATGCGACCATTTTTAAATTCAGAAACCCATTTTTTTTAGCATTCAGCGTATTTTTTTTTTAATACTGATTAATGTAATAATCTGAAAATATTGCCCGTAGAAATTTTATATTGGAGATCTCATAGGCACCTGACTTATCAGCCCGTCCTGGTAAAAACATAATCCCTCCGCTTTAGCGATCGATTTTAATCTATGTCGTTCTTCTTTTTTCAGGTACCCCAATCAACAGACTGCCCATCATGGCCAAATCGGTCTTAGACTTATACGAATTATATAACTTAGTCATAGCTAGAGGCGGATTAGTGGATGTGATAAACAAGAAACTCTGGCAAGAAATAATCAAAGGACTGCACTTACCGTCATCGATCACTTCTGCTGCTTTTACGTTAAGGACACAGTAAGTTGTTTTACTTGTATTATCTTATTTTATTAGGCTTTCAGAAAAAATTGACCCATAAGAATGGGTTCGGCGACAAAGATGTTTACAACTTAAACTAAAACCAAATGCTATACTATACTTGACAACCGTCGCTTCGTATTGCCGAAACTTTTGCATTTTATCTTCAAAAAATCTTTGATAGAGATAGCTATTTCTGAATATGAGAAACACAACTACTAATCTGCATTGTCAGAGCAATTTCAAAAATTTTTGAAAATATTGTCCTTGTCATCATTATCATCCAAAATTATCTCTGGACAATTTGGCTTGGAAACCTAATTAAATCTAGTCACATATATAGGACTTTCGGCAAATGCCTTAGAAGGACAGGGAGGATACGTTAGTAGAAGTCTTTTGCAGTCATTTTCATCAAACATGCTTTATAGGAACGTGGCGAGTGGTTCAGTTATTCTAATTTTTGTTTTTTCGAAAGTAAAGCAAAGAAAACTGGAACCTTTTAGCAGGAAACTGAAGAACTTATACATTTATACTTAGTTATTTCAAATTTTTTAAAAATAGTTTGTTTGGCTAAAACAACTCCCAATTACCTCTATTAATATGTCCAGTCAGCTGGTATATACCGACGTGTTTGACATTTTCCTACATTCCCTATTTCCTCTCTTTATAATTATTTTAGTTTTTAGGTTAGGTCGAAATAGCAGTTTTTTTTTTCATTATTGTATTGCATGTGTGTTTCTTGTTAATAATAACTGTTAATAATAGTATTCACAAAAAAAGATAAATAAGATAATAAGATAAGGCACCTGTTTCTCAGTTGCGAACTAGTCCCTCAAATCTAAGCAACAAATGAAAACTGCCAACAAATTAAATTTATATTTTTTTTTGTCTGAAAAATATAGATTTCCTTTAAATTAAAATTGATAGAGGAATTATTTCTTTAAAATTATTTTTCAGAAATTTTTTTTCTACATAATGTGCTGTTTTATGTCGTATTTACATAAATCAAAACTTAACTCACAATAAAACACAATGCAAAATTTTGTTAAAAACGAAATTATCTTTATTTGTTTGTTTGTTATATGTTATATGAATTTGTCTTAATTATCAGTGATTAAAAATAAAAATCTTATCAGTTTCTCAGTTGCACAAACGTGACAGAATAGTTCGCAGAACCTTTCTTATTAATTCAACAATTTAAAAAATAGTTAATATTGTTCATTGCCTTTAAATTAAAATTATTAAAGTTGTTCTTTCTGTAAAATTCTGTATATTGGAGTCATTTGAAGTTGTTTTAGCCAAAGTTGTTGTAATGTTCTAATTTTTGTTTTTTTCACGATATAATCGTTAAGAATTTAAAAATTAAAGCAAAGACAACCTTTTTTCCCCCATCAGATTATGCATTGGCGGGCATGCTCCGTAAAAAATTTGGTTAAATACTTCGTTCTGATAAATATGAAACTCTGAAACCTCCACTTGTAAAAGTAAATTTCGCACAAGATGTACATTCACAGGTTCATATAACAATTGCAAATATCCTCTGTTGATAGGTCAACTCAGCCTATATATACCGATTTCAAAATAAATAAGAACTAAAAGTTCAGATTTTCAAGAAAGTATATATTTTTACATGACAATTATTCGACAACACGGTGTCTTTATCAAATATAATATTTACAAGCTACCTGCTACTATATATACCGAAAAATGACAATAAAACCTTAATTAATGTTGTGAGAATTTAAGTTCAATAAAGGAGAGGTATTTAAATCTAATTGATCGTTAAGCAATACATTTGAATGTCTCATTTTGTTAATCTCCATGGCTTCCAATAAATTTAATTTTTCACCTTTTGTGGCTGTATGTAAAATATCAAAATTGTCGTCAAAAATGTGTTTTTCTCTGTTTAAGTGTGTAGCATAATTAGAATCTACCTTATTGTTTTTTATGTCTCTTATGTTCGTTAATGCGTTTCTTGAAGGACCTATCTGTTTGTCCAAGATAAATTTTAGGACAAGATCCGCATGTCAACTTGTAGACCTGATTTTTTAGATTTTGGACATTTCGTTTTATTGTTTTTTAAAAATTTTCCTATTGTGTTGTTACTTCAGAAAGCTATTTTGTTTTGTTTTAAATTGTGTTCTGTATTAGGTTTCGGATAAATAGAGTTTACTGTTGTCTGGATTTGTTTTTGCCGTTGTTCATTGTTGTAATTTTCTGTTGAGATTGGCGTATAGATTTAGTAGAGTTTATCCTAACTCGGAAACAGGTTAACCCATTGGTGAAACAAGATTTATTAGATTACTTAATAGTATCTTTAGACCAAAATTATTTTGAATTTAATGGACAGATTTACATCTCTAGGGAAAGTTTGATTATGGGAAACCCACTTAGTCCTTTGGTAGCCGAGATTTTTATGGATAATTTGGAAAATATCATACTAGAACATCCTTTAAGTAAAAGTTTTCTATGGTGGTATAGATGCTTTGTTGGAATGGACAGAATTGAATTCTTTTTTACATTACATTAATTCATTACATAATCGTATAAAATTCACTATCGAGATTGAACGGGATAACTCTATTATTTTTTTAGGGTTAACAATTACGAAAACGCAAAACAAATTAGATTTTTCCAATTATCATAAACCTCCACACACGGACATAGTCATACATAACAGCTCAAATCACCCTTATACACACAAAATGGCTGCATTTCATTCTTTTATACATAGACTTCTTAATACACCACTCTCAACAGAAAATTACAACAAAGAATCAATTGCACTCAACAACGGCTACAATCCGTCCATTATAGATATATAAAATTGTAAATAAAAAACAAATCCACACAACAGTAAACTCTATTTATCCGATACCTAATACAGAACACGAACAATTTAAAACAATTACATACATAGGAGAACCCAGTGAAAAAGTTTTAAAACATTTGTCAAAATGTGGTTTAAAAATAGCGTTCAGAACTAACAACACAATAGGAAAATTTTTAAAAGTAGAAGGATATGTCCAAAATCTCAAAAATCGGGTGTCTACAAGTTTAAATGCGGATCTTGTCCTAAAATTTATATTGGACAACCAGGTAAGATCCATTAAGAAACGCAAGAGCGTTTAAAAACAATAGTCTAGATTCTAATTATGCTACACACTTAAACACAGAAAAGCACATTTTTGACAACAATTTTAGTATTTTACGTACAGCCACAAAAGGTAGAAAATTAAATTTATTGGAAGCCATGGAGATTAACAAAATGAGACATATAAATGTATTGCTTAACGATCAATTATATTTAAATACCTCTCCTTTATTGAACTTAAATTCTCACAACATAAATTAAGGTTTTATTGTCATTTTTCGATATATATAGTAACAGGCAGTTTGTAATTATTACATTTGATAAAGACACGGTGTTGTCGAAACAATTGTCATGTAAAAATATATAATTTCGTGAAAATCTGAATGTTTAGTTCTTATTTATTTCGATAAACCGATTTTCATAAAGTAAAATCCACCTCAGTTTAATATAAAGAATTTCTCCGAGACGTTTGACAGAGTGAATTACACATCTATTTACACATCTGGATTCCTCCAACGTCGGTTGTTGAAGAATCAAACTTGCTGACGTTCCGCCAATCATCCTGTTGGCTTCTTCAGAACATAACCGAAACTGGTTTAGTTTCAGAAGATGTGTAAATAGTATTACACTAGCCTGTGAAAGTGTCTTTCAAAATTAAAAAAAAAGGTTCTGGGCCTTGGGCCAGCTGCTTTTCAATCTATTCATCAACAATATCGATTATTACTTCTTACGTCCAATATTTCTTCTCTTTATAATTTTTAATTTTTAGCTTAGCACACAAAATAGTTTTTTTTTGGTGGTCATTAAAGTTAACATATCGTAATGAAATGGAGATTGTGTTTTTTCTATTCCATAACTTAATGCAGATCTTGTTATTCATCTTAAATAATATGTTGTGATTTTTAAATGAGTTTGATCGGCGAATAGATAAATAAAAGAGACTTTGAAAGAGTTCAGGTGAAAAAGATAACAACTTTAATTGTACATTGTTTTTCAGTTTCGAATTAGTCCATCAAATTCCTTAAAAATTAAAATTAAGAGTTTTCATTTTCTATTAATTTTCAGACATTTTTTTCTATAACAATACACCAACTATGCGGTCTCTACCAAACTTAAATTAAAAACTATTGGAAAAAGTTTTTAGTTTTGCTTTTTATTTTTCCTTAGTGTAATTAGACTTTTTTTATAGCTCGTAAGTAAATAAACTTTAGAAAAAAAAACAAAAAATAAAAACTTTTGTTAGTGTTATATATATATATATATATATATATATATATATATATATATATATATATATATATATATATATATATATATATATATATATATATATATATATATATATATATATATATATATATATATATATATATATATATATATATATATATATATATATATATATATATATATATATATATATATATATATATATATATATATATATGTATATATATATATATATATATATATATATATATATATATATATATTTCTAGTTTGTGAGTTCTTGGATCCTTTTGATTTTATATATTCTTAAGAAATGGTTCTTGGGTTTTTTTTGGTCCTTTTTTAGTGAAATTAAAATAAGTTTCCGTTACTTGTGAAACATTTTATTTTTTGTGACGTTTCGGCCTTCAAGACCTTCTTCAGACATTTAATTTTAATCTACAAAAATGTGTTTTTAAATAAAATTATTTATAGCATTGTTTTCCTGGTCATAATTAAAACATAGATAAAATTTTTGTACAGGAGTCAGCATTGAAATGATTAAAAATTACTAGTGCAAGTCAATAGAACAAACAAAGTGATTAAAAATTGTTTAAAAATAGATGCACAACAATAAAACATACATAATTTTTTATATTACGATTACATACATACCTTAAGCCAAAAATCAACGGTT